CAGTCGTCCTTAGACATTTCCTCCAAGAGAATTCAGAATGTTTTATCTGAATTCCGCTTAATGTCATTACAGCCCTAGTTGGGAGTTTTTTCTAACCTCTGACACCTGTGAGCCAATCACAGACTTATAGAGGCTACATTTCTTAAACTAGGAAACAAAAATCTGTAATCAACCGAATGACTCTGGAAAGGGGATGGGTATATGACGCGATAATATAGGCTCATAATGGTTAAATCAACAAGAAAATTATGGAAATGGGTCGTAGACTTTTTTGAAAAGGAAATATGTAGGTGCTTTTATCTGCAGAGACTTGGGAAAACTCTGATAAAGTTTAGCCAATTTTGCCTGTATCGGAAGAATTTAAACCATGTTAATAAACGGGAGCAAATGTATATAACATATATGTTTAGCATATTGAAAATACCGTATGTCCAAAAAGTATTCGACTTGTTTTCCCCCGCTCTAAGTAATGGCCAAAGGGGTGGGGAAACTGACCGTAGTGATAGAAGAGATTTTCATGCGCATGCGTGATTTTTTGCTGACTCGCAACACTGCCGGATGCATCTGGCTGCCAGATAGCGCAGTAGTGTAACACGTGTTCGTCGCATTCTCATTTCGCTCAAGATGACACAGAACGCTTGGAGCAGCGATACTGCATTAAGTTTTGTCAGAAACTTGGGGATACCCAAGCGGAAACAATTAGAAAAATTCAGCAGGCTTTCGGCAACTATGCATTGGGGGTCACTCAAATTTAATAGCGTTTCAACCGCTTTAAACATGACCGTATGTCGGCCGAAAGGGAGCAGCGTTCCGGGAGAGCGTCAATGTTGATGTCATTGAAAAGTGCGGACACTGATCATGGAGGACCGTCGCTTGGCCATCCGTGAAGTTGCTAATGAGTTTGGCATCAGCAGAGGCTCCGCAAACACAATTTTAACTGAGGATTTGGGCATGCGAAGAGAGGCGGCCAAATTTGTGCCCAAGCTGCTTTCGCCGGAGCAGCAACAACTCCGTCTTGAGGTCGCGCAGGCCATGCTGGAGTGCGCCAACAGGGATCCTGAGTTCCTAAAGACTGTGATCACTGGTGACGAGTCGTGGATGTACGGATATGACCCGGAAACCAAGGTCCAGGCGTCACAATGGAAGCATCCAACATCCCCGAGGCCCAAAAGAGCACGACAGTTTAGGAGCAATGTGAAGGTGATACTGACTGTTTTTTTTTTTCGATAACCGGGGTGTTGTGCATCATGAGTACGCACCACTAGGCCAGACTGTCAATAAGGAGTACTACCAAGAAGTCCTCCGCCATCTTCGTGATGCAGTTCGGCGCAAGAGACCGGAGCTGTGGGACGCACGCAACTGGCAGCTGCTTCATGACAACGCCCCAGCTCATTCATCGCACCTGATCCAGGGTTTCCTGGCCAAGCACGGCATTCCGCAGGTTTGCCAGGCTCCCTACTCTCCTGACATGGCTCCTTGTGATTTCTGGCTGTTCCCGAGATTGAAGACACCCCAAAAGGCTGCCGTTTTGACAGCCGCGAGGATATCATACAGAATGCGAGGCGCAGCTGCACGCCATTCCAAAAGAAGCCTTCCAGAATTGCTTCCAGCAATGGAAGGACCGCTGGGCTAAGTGTGTGGAGTCACAAGAGGCCTACTTTGAAGGCAATTAGGTATTGTAACCACCCAGATACAGAACTGTTTTTCCCGGCCCAAGGTCGGATAATTTTTGGACAGAGTAGTATGAGATATCTTCATTCTGAAATCTAGAGCAACTCGTTCACCATAGTGGGCTCATTTAAATTTCCAGTCTATAGGGATAGCTCTCGTGCTACTATACAATGACCAGACGAGATGATACCTAAAGAGTTTAGAGTTCATCTTGAGAACTTAATAGCCTTTCAGAGTATAAATGAATCTTCCTCCCTCTATACTACAGAATTAATATGAAAGCTTTGCTTAACCTAATCACTTGAGAGCTACACTAGCTGGGGCGTAAGCACTTGGTAAGGTCACACAAGTTATAAATTATCGCCGAGTAGATCCAAGAAGCAAGGTAAACTTGGTTCCCCCTGGTTGAGGTTAGGCGAGGAGCTAACCATTTCACATCACAAAACAATGATAAGGAATTTATGATGATTGTCAGATGGATAATTTAAGGAATCGAGAAAAGAAGAATATTCGAGAGTCAAGAAATAGAGACAAACTTTTAATGACACCTCATAACAGTGATACTTTTAGCAACAATGCCATAACAAGTGCCTGAAGCATTCTATAGCCCGTTTCTCTCTGTCTGTCTTCGAGAAAATATTGCGAAATTTCTTAATCTTGTACAGACTAACTTCAAATTTCGTGGCTATGCAAACAACGGCACTGGAAACACAGATGTTAAAATCAAAGGCACATCAGGTTTAACATTTTAGTGTTCGGGTAAAGCGAAATGTGAAACCTGTTTGTAACGTGAAGTCTCAAAGAGAAAATTTTGTCATGTGATTTTTATATGGAAATGGAGGAAATTTTATACAATTAAAATTGTCAAAGAAAGTCCTATGTGACGTGACTCCAGAACTTGTTGCCTCTCACAATTGGTTTCATTGAAATGGAACTTCCAAATTCCTTGCAAAATACATAAAAATATCAGACTTCTTATTGTATATTCAATNTGTTTGTAACGTGAAGTCTCAAAGAGAAAATTTTGTCATGTGATTTTTATATGGAAATGGAGGAAATTTTATACAATTAAAATTGTCAAAGAAAGTCCTATGTGACGTGACTCCAGAACTTGTTGCCTCTCACAATTGGTCTCATTGAAATGGAACTTCCAAATTCCTTGCAAATTACATACAAAATATCAGACTTCTTATTGTATATTCAACTGAAGTTGACATAAATGAGACAAAATTGTTGCAAAGATTTAACAAATGAAATTATATTGAAAAAATCATAATGCATAGCGTTTCTTCGAACTTATGGAAGTTTAAAAGTTGAGAATGGTCTATAAAATTTTCCCAACGTCTGGAAAGAGAATAATTTCTCCATAGAAGCCAATAATAAATTAAATCTTTATCACTGTTTCCAGGGGCGAATTTATAGTTATTGATGCCCCAGGGCAATCAAAATTTTGACCCTATAAGCAACAACAAATTGAGATAATGAGAATGATTTGCTATTTTTCTTACTTCATTAAAAATAACAAACTGATTTTAGTGACTTTAGAGAAGTAACTGTCCCCATAAAATCTGTGGTGCCGGGAAGTTCGCCGAAGTCGCTCCTTTTAAATCCGTCTCTACCTGCTTTTTTAAAGCAAGCATTTAACACAGAGTATTAATGTTATGAGTACATGCAGTTAGGGCAGTGACACTGAATATAGTGGCACAAAATAAGACAAAGATTTGCATTCTCATTACCTCACATTTGTTGTTACTTATAGGGTCAACATTTTGATTGCCCTGGGGCACCCATAACTATAAATTTGAATCTCTCCAGAATCCCTGCCTCTCCTGACTTAAGGATTTTCATATGTTCTCCAGTGCTTTCAGTTGAATGTCGAGGTACGAGAATATTTAAACATGTCTCTATCGATTTCACCCTCTGCCATTCAGTTTACCGTCTTAGCAATCGATTCCGTGTTAAATTACTCATGCGGACGATGCAGCTTAGTTAGCCAACAGAGAAGGTTGTTGTCCCCTCCTCTTTGGAGAAGGGACGAAAAATATTCCCCATTCACGAATTCCCAATAACCGCAGTAAGACACAAGTACCTCTGTTGCTCCGAGTGTGCCCAATTTACCCCTAGGCCAACGCATGTGCAGTGGACAAGCTGTTGTACATTGCTAAACAACAGGTGAATCTTAATTGAGCCCCGTCCAGGTCCAGTGAATGTTAATTGGTCCTAGCATATGATGCACATGAAATTAGTTACGACAACGACGAATATTTTAGAACACTGCGTTTTGTTCCTATTGTGCCCATTCCATGCCTATATCCTGTTCACGAGGTTCCGCTAGCAGGCTGTAAGCTTAGTTCATGATCCGCATAATGGAGATTTGGTTTCGTTCTCTGAAACTGTTGATTTATTAATCATATTTTATGTTATGAATGTAATTGGTTTCCATAAATAAATAAACATAAATTGAAACTCTTCAAGAACAGGAAGCTTAAATTGAAGTGAGAAACAGACGATAGCAGAAAATTTCATAATAATAAGTTCCATAATTTGTACCCATAAAAATATTTTAGGACGAGCAAGGGGAAATAGGGTGACGGTAGATGGGCGGGCATGTGAGAGAAGAGAAATGCATATGGAATATTAGTCGGAAAGGCTAAAGACAAGAGGAGAAAATAAACTTTATAGAAGGAAACAAAAGAGTGTCGGATTATCGTGTTCAGTAGCTGAATTTTGTATTTTCGTTATCAGTTCAAATGTTTGTATGTTCATATTCCAATCGAGTTAAGTAATCAGCAGCTGACTAGGATATCAGAGACCCTGTATGATAAACAAGAAATTCTGGGAAGAACTTATCGTCTATCTTCTTTTCACTACAATTTGAGTATTTGACATGACAAGTATAAAGAAATTTTAGTATACAAGCGTAATCAATTAGCAAAAATAAATACAACTTGAGAGGTTACAATGTTGGTATTATTGATGGTAGGAATTTATGAAGTACGATGTTTAGATGGCCTCACGACGAACCGATTCAGGTATCCAATTGTTATTAAGGTTACTGCCTCAAAAAATTTAAAAACTACATTGTTGGTATTACTGATGCGAGGGATTTATAAAGTGTGCCTTTTACATGGCCTCAGGTGGCATGATATACATACCGAGTCTCATAAAGATCGGTTGAGGTATTCAAACATTGCTGGGTGTGAATACACATGCAGACACGCACACACGCAAACGATAAGTTAATTCAATAAGCATAATTTTATTTTACTTTTTTCTAAATAAGTACGTTAGGATATAAAGATCGGTGACGAGAGAACAAGAGCACGTACCTGAGGCACACTTGTAGGAACAACGTCACTGCCCACGTGATTTCCAGGAAGAACACCACAACTGCTCCTATTCTGCAACAAGCGGGAAACAGACACTGACAGAGAGACCAAACTGGTGAAACAATATCCAACGAGTACACCTTAACGCTGATACATTAATTTCTTGCTCCTGAATTAACTATTAAAATAAGTAAAGCTAAGCCTGTACCAGGCCGTGAAGGCCCATAGGNGTTGAGGGTCCCACATTATCTAGACAATCGGCTCAAAGATGGCGGTAAGGTTGTCAGCCCTACACGCCGGCCGCGCTTTACTACCCAGGAAAATTATTTAGCTTATTCCTGGTACTCATTTCTGTTAGAGGCTGAGTGAACCCCAGGGCCATATTGCGGCTGGAAGGATTAGGTCAATTGACCTCAGCGGGACTTGAACCAGCGACCTCCCTGCTTGTAGCATAGCGCCTCAACCGAATACGCTACCGCGTGCCCCCTTTGAATTAACTGTTATAACAACAAACGTAAAATGTGCCCTTGTGTCATTTCCGGGGCGAAAAAAGGCGACAGCATTGGTTGAAGACAATTTTACTTTCATCTCAATAAACAGTTGCCTAATCAAAACAATTAAAAATCAAGAGAATTTAATTAGATAAATGTTTGATATTATCTATATATCTTTGTGTACTGTGAGTCACTATCCTAAGGACAGTGTTTATGAACAGGATGTTGAGGAGAATATTTCGACCTAAGAGACAGGAAGCAATTGAAAGCAGGAAAATCTGTATAATGAGAAGCTTCATAATTTATGCTCTTCATTAATATTATATTTGAGGTTTTCACGGGGATTAAGTTTTAGACTGCGGTCTTCCATGGTATGGAACCATATAATCTGGTAGGCGGTTGCTAATATTTCCGGAAAACACACTGTATGTTCAGGGCAGCTGCAAAGATAGGCAGCATATTTCACCGAAACGTCGGTAACCACTGACTCTATTATTTGGTGCCATAACACAGAAGACCATATTTCACTAGTATTTTAAGGAGATGAGATTAAGGAGGATTAGGAGAGTGAAGTATATAATAAGTTTGACTCCAGCCGCGCCATAGCTCAAGCGGTTAGTCGCTGGCTTCCCACCGCGGCGGTCCAGGTTCGAGCCCGGGTCTGGTCAAGTGGGATTTGTGGTGAACAAAGTGGCGCTGGGGCAGATTTTCTCCGAGTACTTCGGTTTCCCCTGCCAATCTTCATTTCACCCGTTGCTCTACAATCACCCTCACCTTTCATCTGGGGCTGGTCCAATAGCCCAGAAGTGGCCGCAGGACAAGGGCCTTAGTCCCACCCCACTAGCAATAAACGATAAGTTTAGAAGGACAATCTGAAAACCACTTGAGATAACTAAATGTAAAAGATAGGATAATATTAAAAATTGGTCTTGTTGTAATAGGGTGTGAGAATATGTACTTGTTTAACTGATTCGTGATTTGATCTTATGAACATGGTAATGAATCTTCGGATGTTATAAAAGGCAGAAAATTTCGTGACTAGCAGAGAGTATTAAATTCTCAAGAACTTTGCTTAATGGAAGTAGTTATGAATCGAGAGATCTCTCTTCTGGGATATAATGCCATGTAGCCTAATGAAAGTGAGCATTTGGAGAAACAGTTGGAAGGAAAAGCCAAGCAAGAAACCAGAATGAAGCCGGTAAAACTACTAAAACGTATATAAATTTCTACCCGATTCATAGTGGTTTTCTTGCTTGGTTTATTCTTCGACCGCGAAGGTGGAAGCGACATATTCTTCCGAAAAGTTGAATTTCAACAGATTATATGGCGTATTCATATTCACCGTTGTGAGAACCTCGCCTACATTTCTAAGGAAAGGTAAGAAGAGGAGAATAGTGAAAATGAAGACAAATAAATACGGGAAAAGAAGCGCATTGCCGGTTGTCTGTAAATTACAGAGCGTTCACATTAACAGGAAACCTCGTACCGTAAGTAAGCCGGCTACTTACTCGGCCTTACCCCTCGTATTTTCAGCTAGCTGTAGCCACTCAGTTCCGGAGGAGGTAAACGCGAACTTGTATTCAGAACCACTACTGAAATACCCGCCCTCATTCTGTGGCTTGAAACCTTCCGTTAATGTAACGTAAGAAACGGAAAGGTAGAATGAGAAGGAAAGTCCCAGGTGTTACAGAAAATGCTAAAAAAAATTTACCAGCGGCACTTACAAACGCCTCGCATCTTCGAAGGAACCCCTGCGAAACCCGCTGTAATTCGTCAGCCGAAATCGAAGAAACCTCATTCCTTGCCTTGTTCTGGAGAGCTTCAGCGGTGCTAGGTTTGTTCTTGTATACATTTCCTTTTAGGTTCCCCCATAAATAAAAGTCATAGGCACTAAGAGCCGGCTATTTTGGAGGCCACAATCCTGTACTAATGATCCTGTCATCGAACAATTCTTCTAATGTACTCAATGAATTATGTAGCTGAGGTCGGTGACAGTTCGGGAACCTAGAGCAAGGCAAAATTCCGCCGTTGAAATCCTGTATCAAGCAACGGCTAGTCAAGGCTGTAGCCGACTGATAAGACCTAGTGTGTCCTATAGTAATTTGTGAAGTGTGTAGAAAGTGGAAACATAATCCTTACTTGTAGTTACGATTTATAAAAGAGCTTACTAAATCCAATCATCAATCCAAAACCGTCTATAGTCATTCCATCACGTGCCAATATTGCATAACATAAACGTCACTATAGTCTATTCCGTACTTAACTCATCTTTAAGAACAGGGTGTAAGGCTCTTCGATATAATGAGGAAGCTAAGACTGCATGACAATTTACCTGTACTCTACAAACATACATACATACATACATAAACATATATCGCCACGGTATAGCTATAATATTTACTTTGGCTTCTACCGTAAGTAAGAGACATATGGCCTAAACTGAAGTTCCATATACTAATTTCTCAAAGACTGAGATTCCGGTATCTGTCACGCCCTTAACACATATCGGTACACATACACGCACAGAGAGCCGGAGCACAGCAGATGTAACACATTCCAGAAGTTCGATGAAGACGGGATGGAACAGCAGATGTGAGACTTCCACGTGGATCTCTCGAAAGCTGATTTCCTGAGAATATTTTCCTCTCTGTCAAGGATGAAAGGGGCGGAAGGCCATGTATGTCAGAGGCAGTTCGTACCTTAGTAGGATATCCTGCTCAGAGAAAAACGGAACAAGTGCCGAATTTCGAAACGTTATTGAGGTGGAATTCAGCTTCGGGAGCTTAGATGAAAACGTGATGATTTGTATCGAAAGAAATGTACGAAACGTTCTGGAATATGTCTATAGTGATTTAGCTCCTTTAGTTTTCGCTTCAAAATGGCAGCTAAACTGTTAGAATTTGTTGACAAATTACCATAATTCTCCTTGATATTTTATATGGATATGAAACAGGGGGTCTCTCTACAAGGGAAGTTCATAGACGTGTTTGAAAACAGATTGCAGAAGAGAATGTCTAGATCTAAGAAAAATATAGTGATTCACATAACTGCATAATGAGATGTTTCATAATTTGAACTTTTAAGGAAATATATATTATCACTCATGGAGATGAGCCCTTCTTGAGAAGCTGCCAACCGTGCAGCCACTCAAGAACTTCCCAGTATTTTATGAACCCGAAGGTTCATTACCGTGTTCACAAGAGCTCTCCACTGGTCCCTATCATGAGCAGATAAATCCAATCGTATTTCTCTAAGATCAATTTTAATATTCTTCTCCCACCTATGTCTTGGTTTTCCCAGTGGCTCTTTACTTCTGGATTTTCCACCAATATCCTATATCCATTCTTCTCCCCATTCGTGCTAATGTCCTGTCAATCTCATCCTCCTTCATTTGATCATTCTAATTATACTAGGAGTAGGGTACAAGATATGAAGCTCTTCATTATGCACTTTTCTCCAGCCTCCTGTCACTTCATTTCTCTTTGGTCCAAATATTCTCCTCAACACCCTGTTCTCAAACACCCTCAGTCTATGTTCCTCCCTTAATGTCAGATACCGAGGTCACAACCATACAGAAAAACAAGCAAAATTATATTTTCTTATATTCTAATATTTTTGTTTTAGACAGCAGACGAGAAGACAAAAGGTTCTGAAAATTTAAATGGGCATATAATATGCTCGAGAGATCAGAAATGCATACAAAACTTTATTTTTAAAACGTAAAATTATTATATCACTTGCAAGACCTAGAAGTAGAATGTATAATAATATTAAAATTGATCTTAAACAAATTTTGTGTGAGAATGAGAACTGGATTCATCTGGTTGAGGATAATTTAGTGGCTGATCTTGTGAAAATGATCATAGCTTCCATAAAGGTCGAGGAATTCTCTATTACCTGAGAGAATATTTGTTTCTGAAGAAGATTCTGCTATGTGTAGTTAGTTAGGAATGTATCTTTCCATAAATTCCCGCTAAGAAAGGCTTACATTCATGGAAGTTTGAAGCATGACTTGAAGCGCTAAGGCTCTGGTGTGTTGGAACATTCAAGCACAAGTAATTCAAACAATATTTTATACTTACGTGTTTACGTGTAACAAATTAAACTGTCATAATTCACGAAGGAGAAAATGTGTATTTAATCGCGTGATGTTCATGTATAAGGAACGACTTTATAGTAACTTCGACAGGTTCACCGAGTTGTTCAATGAACATCTAATTACACTCCACATTATTAAGAGTGTCACTTAACCACGCTCCACGCAAGGAAAAATAAACCATAAAGCTATATATTCCTTAATAAATCTGGCTTCTATTGCCCATTCCTGAGTTGGAAAAAGTCCCACTGCGAAATTCCTAGTGAAATTTATGTCGGTATTTTCAAATGAGAAGAAATTCCTTTACGAGTTTACAGTTGTCGGTTGTTGTGCAGCGTGTAATACAGCTCCGTCATCCTAACTGCCTTCCTCGGATATTAGAGATGCAATACATTTGTCGTGACAAAGAAATGGTGATCAAATTTTAAGGAATAGAAAAAATTTTTATCCTTTTTTCCATATTTGGTTTTGTTTTTTTTTAG